AAAATTCTTTAAACCTTTGTTGAGATTTAGAAAATGAATAGACATTTGAAAACCGCTATTTCGTTGAAAACTTTAGCAAATCCACATTATTAGTTAGTCTGAAATAAAGCAATTATTTAAGCAATCCACAAATGATTATCAGTTAAATATATATATATATATATATATATATATATATATGGATATATATATATATATATATATGTTCATTTCTGTGCGTTAGCGTATATGTATGTACACGCATATAATATAGTGGCATACGTAATTTTATATCCCAGATACAAACCCGTAATTAGTCATACACGTGAATCAACAAACGCTAGATATACAATCAGTATAAGAAAATATTATGAGAGATGATATACGGAAGAGAGCATCTAATATAGCATTTCTTTTCCGGTTGCTTTACGTTGTAGAAGAAAGCCATATTTATTGATATACTCACGAACACGTGATTGGAAGTATTTTTGCATGTTGTTTCTGCAGGATGTACAATTTGCTAGTTGTACCATTAGAGTCGACAAAGGTGCAAAGCAATGCATCTGACAGGCTACATATTGCTTTCAAGTGTCCCCATGATGTGTATGTAAATGAATAGTTTCTATTTATCTAGCGAGCGAGCGAGCTAGCCCATAATAAAAGAAAGGCAGAACTATCTACATACCCATCTCGGCCTGTTCATATACGTACCCAATTCGGCCAATTCATTTACTTATGAATCTCGGCATGTTCATATACGTACCCATCTCGACCTCTTCCTATTCGTACCCATTTCGGCCTGTTCCTATTAGTACCCATCTCGGCATGTTCATATTCGTACCCATCTCGGCCTGTTCATATACGTACCCATCTCGGCCTGTTCATAGATGTACCCATCTCGGCATGTTCATATTCGTACCCATCTCGGCCTGTTCATATACGTACCCATCTCGGCATGTTCATAGATGTACCCATCTCGGCCTGTTCCTATTCGTACCTATCTCGGCCTGTTCATATATGTACCCATCTCGGCATGTTCATATTCGTACCCATCTCGGCCTGTTCATATTCGTACCCATCTCGGCATGTTCATATTCGTACCCATCTCGGCATGTTCATATGCGTACCTATCTCGGCCTTTTCATGTACGTACCTATCTCGGCCTGTTCATATTCATACCTATCTCGGCCTGTTCATATTCGTACCCATCTCGGCATCTTCATATGCGTACCTATCTCGGCCTTTTCATGTACGTACCTATCTCGGCCTGTTCATATTCATACCTATCTCGGCCTGTTCATATTCGTACCCATCTCGGCATCTTCATATGCGTACCTATCTCGGCCTTTTCATGTACGTACCTATCTCGGCCTGTTCATATTCGTACCCATCTCGGCCTGTTCATATTCGTACCTATCTCGGCCTGTTCATATATGTACCCATCTCGGCCTGTTCATATATGTCCCCATCTCAGCCTGTTCATATTCGTACCCATCTCGGCCTGTTCATATTCATACCTATCCTGGCCTGTTCATATTCGTACCCATCCCTGCCTGTTCATATATGTTCCTATTTCCCAATCTCAACTTGTTTCTTTAGCTACCAATCTGGGTCTGATAGGGTACGTATTGCTTTCAAGTGTTCCCATGTTGTGTAAATCTTCCATCTATTCAAACTATCTATAGACCTATCCAGCTCGCTCGATATCTCACAATGTAAGAAAGGCAAAACTATTCATATACGGACTCTTACTGTTTCTATACTTACCTATATAGTTTGTTGCTATACGTACTCATCTCATTCTCTTTATATACGTACCTATCTCGGCTTGTACATATACGTACCTATCTCGACCTTTTCATATTCGTATCTATCAGGCCTGTTCCTACACGTACCTATCTCGGCCTGTTCATATGCAAACCTATCTCCGTCCTTTAGGGTACATATTGCTTTCAAGTGTTTCCTGATGTGCAAATGAATAAAAAAGAGCCCCAATTCTATCTATCTATCTATCTATCTATCTATCTATCTACACACCTCGGCCTGTTCATATACGTAACCATCTCGGCCTAATCATATAGATACCCGTCTCGGCCTGTTGCTATATGTACCTCTCTCTGTTCATATACGTAGATATTCCGGTCTGTTCATACACGTACCCAACTCGGCCTGTTCATATACGTACCTATCTCGTTCTATTCTTATCTATCTATCTATCTATCTATCTATCTCAGCCTATTCGTATCTATCTATCTATCTATCTATCTATCTATCTTAGTCCTGGGCAAAATACGGTTCGCGGCCCACGTGCGGTTCGACTGGCTTTCCCAATGACGCACCTAATTTCACGAGGAAAAAGAACGTTAATTAAAATGTTTGTTTTCTTTCGTTCTTGTTCACTTTCACAACTCTCATTCATAACCAAATGAATAAGCAATAATTAAGTACAATGTTTCTTGAATTTTGAAACTTTTCGTTGAAGTTAGCGTTTTCAGCATTTTAAAACATTGGTGATTTTTCACTCAGGAAGATCAAATGTGTAAACATTTTTGTTTCAGAAACAGGAAACGTCAATGAGAATTATCTTTCTCTTGAGATTAAATACACTTCTTTTACAAATATTTTTGTATTTTCAAATGAATAAATTAGAAATAAATCACACGCAGCCGTGTGTGTTAATGACTCTGACATCAGTGATAATATTATGTCAGGGCATCAGTTTTGTTTTTGTTTTTACTTATGGAATGAATCTTTTATCGAAAGAAAAAAAAACAACTTTCCCCTCATTTCTAAGTCAGATGCTTATGCGCATGCTCCTTTGTTGGGAAAATGGCTACGCTATTTCTAATGAAAAATTACCTAGTTTTTTTTTAATAGTGCAACCCGCCTTGTGATGCATCTTATGTGTCCTGTCTTATGATGTAATGTACCTCATGCGAGCCACCTTAAGATATACATTATCTGGCCCGTCTTATAAAGTTCTGTACCTCATGCGTCATGCCTTACGATGTACTGCAACTTATGCGGCTCGCCTTATGATGTACATTATCTGGCCCACCTTATAAAGTTCTGTAACTCATGCGACTCGCCTTATGATGTACTGTACCACATGCGAACCGACTTATGATATACCTTATGTATCCTGCCTTATGAATTTCTGTAACTCATGCGACCCGCCTTATGATGTACTGTAACTAAGGCGACCCGCTTTATGATATAATGTACCTCATGTGACCCACTTTATGATGTACATTATCTGGCCCGCCTTATAAAGTTCTATACTTCATACGGTATACCTTATGATGTAGTGCAACTTATGCGACCCGCCTTATGATGTAATGTACCTCATGCGACTCGTTTTATGATGTACCTTATTTGGCCTGCCTTATGAGTTTCTATACCCCATGCGGCCCGCTTTATGATGTACTATACCTTATGCATCCCACTTTTCGAAAAAGATTGCGCATACCTGATTTATCTCTGTTTCAGTCGATCTATCTAGATTTCTGTTCATGAGTTCAGATTTACAGTAATTCGTTTGTATAATTATATCAAGAGATCAGCTTCATTCTCTTCCTCTGCATCGGCCTAAAACGAATAGCACGTGTAACGTGTAGAGAAAATAATGACAAAAGATACTGACGTTGCACTTCGAACAAAAGGTGAGGAAAAATCTTGCATCGATCCCGGAAAGAGCAATAACCTATTTGCCTGAAAAATTGTTTGAATATAAATATATTATAAATGTAAAACAAAAGTAACTCTGCCTGCTCGGTTATTAAATGCTTCCTTATAAGAAAACGGCTAATATCACGATTACGATTAGAGAAGAGGAGAAATGATACTACACTTTGATCCCAGCCCAATGGCCAGGGAATAGAGAAAAAAAATAACTCTCTTAGAACTGGCTGCTCGGTTAATGAATGTCGAATATTTTCTTATGACAAATCAGCTATTATCACCATTATCGTTTATGAGGAGAACATATACTACACTTTGATCCTAGGACGGCGCACAGGGAGTGAAGAGAAACGTGAATCTAGTTGCACTGGCTGCTCGGTTAATAAATGCCGAATGTTTCAATATAAGGAATCGGCTGATATTACCATTACTGTTTGAAATGAGGCGAACAGATACTACACTTTGTTCTTATTTTGAGAAACCTTTTTTTTTTCTGAAAGAACTGTTTTAAAAGAAAGATTTCATAAATTTCAACCAGACGCTGCTCGGTCATTGAATGTCGAATGTTTCCACATCAGGAAACGGCTAATATTACTGTTAAAATAAATCCTTTCTCATCATCATCATCATCGTCAGCAGCAGCAGCAACAGCAGCATCAGCATCATCAGCATCATCATCATCAGCATCATCATCATCATCATCAGCATCATCATCATCATCAGCAACAGCAGCAGCATCATCATCAGCATCATCAGCATCATCATCAGCAGCAGCAGCAGCATCAATCCCTCAACTATTTCAATCGTTAGAAGAATCGGGGGTGGGGTCGGGGGAATGGTCTGAAGCAGAAGAAACCGATTTTTATTCTTTTTCCTAAATAAACAATTCAGATACTTTGGCGGCACCCATCTCCTCTCCAAGCTCTTGACTGACAACCAAAGACCACAGAATATAATGTGGGTCGCTCTCGATCCATACACTAGTCGCTCAGGTTGTGAATTCAGTGTTGTCCTTCTGTTAGACAGTTCGCCACCCAAGGCTATAGGGCCCAGTTTGTCCAGCGATTTACCCATAGCCTGGTGTGGGGGTGAAGAGATGGATCCATATTTTTCCCAAGGGTATTAACACGTAAGTGAATGTCAAGGATTCGAATTTGAACTCGGTTCACAGTCTCCGCAATCGGAGCCGCTATCCTACCCTGCCTCCATTCTAATAATTATATTTAATTAATGCATATAATTAAATTTAGTATCCGTATTATTTAGCATTTAAGAATTTAAAATGTGTATTTTCTCCTGCGATATTAACACCAACAGTGACAATGTAGAAATATAATGACATGTTAAATCTGATAAACTGTATATTTAATTTTATCTACATCATCATCATTTCTTCTTCTTCTTCTTCTTCTTCTTCTTCTTCTTCTCATTCTTCTTCTTCTTCTTCTTCTCATTCTTCTTCTTCTTCTTCTTTTCCTCCTCCTTCTCCTTCTCCTCCTTCTCCTCCTCTTCCTTCTTGTGCTTGTTCTTGTTCTTCTTCTGTTCCTCGTACTCCTTATTCTTCTTCTACTCCTTCTCCTCCTCCTTCTCCTTCTTCTCCTCCCCCCTCTTCTTTCTTCTTCTTCTGCTGCTGCTCCTCCTTCTCCTCCTCATTCTTCTTCTTCTTCTTCATTTGCCACCTTACAAAAATGGGTTGTTTCCTTACCTTTCTCATCATCAGATTCACCCCACATTGGAATATCGTGCGTGGAGCTCCAGACCGAGGGAGATTGATATTTAATTGGTGTTTCTTCCGTTTTCTTATTATCACACCAACACTTGACTCATTCTCACCTAGCTTCTTGCCAATCACCTTGTATCCCATTCTAGTCTTGTGCGGGTATACAATATTCTCCTGGATGTCCTTAGACAATTCTTTCGTCTTGCCCATTGTGGAGAGATTAGATTCTGTTTCATTAAGGGATTCTGTGAACTAGTGTCTTTTATACAGGTAATTAGTACTTGATTAGGAGTAATAATTGAGTAATAGGACTACTCTATATGCCTCCTGGTCACATAACCGGTCGGTGGGGCCTGAATCATTGCTGGTTGGTAGGAGATAAAATATTTATTGTTTCAATAAAAAAAGAAATAAATGTTCACAAATTAATGATGTGATCTTGTACATTTTTTTATATTCTATCTCTCACTTTCAATATAGACCTACCCTGAAAATGAAAGACCGTTCCTATTTTTGCAAGTTGGTAAACTTTGTATCCTGAAGAGCCGGGTCCAAACTATGGTCATTAGGCCCTATAGGAGAATTGTCATTTAATTGATAGCACTTTTCTTAGTATATGGGATGTTCCTAGTAGGGTGATCTTCTGGGCAACTTGTATGTTGATGTTACCTGGGACACTGTTAGTAAAATTGTCTATTACTTTTCTCACGTGGCCCAGAGCTCTGATTACTATTGGTGCAGTTTCAGTCTTTTTTCCCCACATCCTGTTAATCTCGATCTCCAGGTCCTTGTATTTGGGCAATTTCTCGATAATTTTCATGAAGGTATTTTATTGAACTGGAAACAGATATTAAATGACAGAAGACAATAGCAGACAAAACGAAGACTTGAGTAAACATATATATATATATATATATATATATATATATATATATATATATATATATATATATATATTGCCAAGTTTATTTTCGTTAAATAAAATACAAATAATGTTTGAACTAGGCAAAAAGATATCTCTGCAAGGGTGAGAAAAACGTTGCCCTTAGGAGACAGTTTTTGAAGTGGCTGAATAGCGTTGTCCCGAAAAGGACAGTTTTGAAGTAGCTGAATAGCGTTGTCCTGAAAAGGACAGTTTTGAAGTGGCTGAATAGCGTTGTCCCGAAAAGGACAGTTTTGAAGTGGCTGAATAGCGTTGTCCCGAAAAGGACAGTTTTGAAGTAGCTGAATAGCGTTGTCCCGAAAAGGACAGATTTTTATTCGCTGAATAGCGTTGTCCCGAAAAGGACAGATTTTTATTCGCTGAATAGCGTTGTCTCGAAAAGGACAGATTTTTATTCGCTGAATAGCATTGTCCCGAAAAGGACAGATTTTTATTCGCTGAATAGCGTTGTCCCGAAAAGGACAGATTTTTATTCGCTGACTAGCGTTGTCTCGAAAAGGACAGATTTTTAGTCGCGGAATAGCGTTGTCCCGAAAAGGACAGATTTTTAGTCGCTGAATATCGTTGTCCTGAAAAGGACAGTTTTGAAGTCGCTGAATATCGTTGTCCTGAAAAGGACAATTTTGAAGTCGCTGAATAGCGTTGTCCCGAAAAGCACAGTTTTGTGGCCATTGAGAATTGTTGCCCTGAAAAGGACAGTTTAGTAATCGTTGAAAAATGCTTTCCTGAAAAGAACAGTTTATCGCATATCGTTGTTACTGGCGAAGATGGTTGGCTGGTTGGAGCTACTACCTGGAGCTATGGGCCGGTTGTCTGCTGTTGAAACAGATACAACACTTAGATCCTAGACATGTTGATAGACCTTTCTATCTTTTTTTGTCCTTTTTATATTCAAAATCAATTTTAAAACAGTCGTTGGTCCTGAAATGCGTGGTTTCATTTTTTTTTTTTTTTTTTTGAAAATGTCGGCGTGTCGACAGGATTCTATAAGACTGAGCAGAAAAGAATGTGTTATTCTGATATCAAACTCAAGTTATATTTGTCTATACGCATCTACTTGCATCTACATTAGATTATAAGAGGACAGGTAACTTATGTACGAAACGGATATACGCATACACGTTACATACCTGTATGGAAAATCAAAAGCAGACAGTGTGCGACGGGCAGAGAACCATCTTTTTTTTTTTTTTTTTGTAAATACATTTCATCGAGGAAACATTCGGGCCGGCATCAAATCGAATTATCTCATTTTAGATGTATGAAGGCGCCTGGATCCGGAGACTCTAACCCTGCGGCAGCATCTTTATCGTTGCACTAAGAGAGGTGAGGTTGGTATAATATAAAAAAGACATTGTGTTACATTATAGCTTACTAGGGAGGTTAGGCAAATTAAAAAAATTTATGTCTTTTTGGTAATTTGGGGAACATGTTTTTAAACGGGAACGGACAACTCAACACCGCCGACTCAATACTTCCAACTGAGCGACGGGACACCTCAGGGCCGAGACAACCCAGCAACAAAAAAACATATTTATTTTTTTATAAGCGAATAAAAGTAATTTATTAAGGATAAATCCATAATTATTGAATATTTTTTAATTATCTCTATCTATAAACGGCAGGATGTATGTGTGCGTGTGTAACGAATACACGGCCGCAATTTTCGACGGATTTGCACCAAAATTTACATGCACATGCTCCAAGTTAGCGGAAAGGCCAAGACCGACTTTGCATTTCCCAACTCCCATCGATAGTAGAAATAATCGATTTTTTCATGCTTCTACGGCAGTTTTCATATAGTTTGCGGCCATTTTCTACTGGCCAGAGTGAGAGCCTATAGCTGGCTGCCACAAATAGGCAGGAAGATTCTATTGGCCAGCGTGAGAGCCAACAGCTGACTGACACGAATGTTAACTAGCATTCTAGCATGCAAAAAACAAAAATCGAGAGCTGCATTCGTCACAAGTGGGAAAAATTTAAATCTGCATGGCACTTTACTCCAATTCGCTTGCTTAAACTCAACGTTGATTCTGATTCTGCAGAACTGGGTTGGGTGTGAAAAAGTATTTGTGTTAACATTCTTTTTTCATTCGGTTTTTCCAGTTACGAGTCCTTTTTTTTTAAAGCTGATCGTTTTGTGTTCATTTTGTTTAGTTCTTTTTTCGTAACAGATTTAATGTTTAGTATAGAGCTTAGAAAAAATTCGCAGTGTGAGATAAGCAAGAAGTAAGGCATTTAGCAACATCAGCACGGCAAAGGGCACTCCTTTAAAAGCAAGGAAAGGCAAAAATATTTTAATTCAAGTGATAGCGATTGCTGTATGAGTCGTACGATTTTTGAATCAAGGACGGGCAACGCCGGGCCATGCTGTTAGTTTTTAATAAAGCAAATCGTAAAGAAATTTATAAAGTAAAAATATTCACTATTTAGGGTAGTGAATATTTATTTTATTTAATCCTTAATAAATTAGCGTCCTTGGTAAGATGATAAACTACGTCCAGCAGCAAGGCTTCTGATCAGGAGGTTTTGAGGAGCGTGGAACCATCTCTTAATTGCTGGCGTTCCCAGATCCATCCTGACCCGGGGTGGTAGCACCTGTTGGAGTCCCAACTATGGGAAAATAGATAACCTTCAAAATGGGGCCAAAACATTATGATTGTGCAAAAATAGGTTTTAATACCAGCAATAATTTTTGTGGAAAAATTTTACCAACAATGCATTATTACCATCAATACATTTTTGAAGAAAATAAATATTACCAGCAATGGGTTATTCCTGGTAATATTTCTTTTTCCAAAAATGTATTGCTGGTAATATTTTTTCCTTCAAAAATTCATTGCTGATAATACTTTTTCTGAAAAAAAAATAACATTGCTTTTAATATTTTTTCCAAAATATATTGCTGGTATTAAAACCGATTTTTACATTTTCATAGAATTTTGACCCCAGTGTGTAGGTTAACTATTTGCCCATATCTGGGACCCTAACAGGTGGTACCACCCCGGGTCCCCATGGACCTGGGAACACCAGCAATTAAGAGGTGGTTCCACGCTCCACTTCAGAGGCTTTGCTGCTGGATGTAGCTTATCGTCTTACCCAGGACGCGGATGTAGTTTAACGTCATGTACAGAACGGGATTGTTTGGTTGTTTTTTTTTTCTCCTTTTCTTTGTGTGTGTGTGTGTGTAGTAGGAATTTTTATTCATGTTTGGTGGTTGCGCGCATTTTGATATTTTTGAGGTCTTTTTTTGTCTTAGGGTGAAAGAATTTTAAGTTATGCCAGTTGTGATATAAGCATACAGGATTTCCACAACTTACCTCGGAGATCCGTTCCTACGGTGCGACATAACCTGATTTTCGATGTAGGTCGGAACTCACATACATTAGCACCCACGAGTCTGCCTTACACTTGGGAGCCATAATGAAGGGCAAAAAGTACCACCGCCCCCCCAAAAAAATAAAAATAAAAATGAAAAAATAAATAAATAAAATTAAAAAAAAAAAACGGCACACACAAGAGATAGCGAATGTAGCACAATCCAATATGGCGAAGAGTCGGTGAAGACACAGTGTCGTCTTTCTCATACAGCGCCGCGTGACAACGTATTATGTAAGATGGCGCCGTAACCACGAAACGCCGTACGTTGGATCCGACGCAATTCGAGGAGCTTCTGTATTCTATAGCAAAGTATGGTTGACATGTGTTTATAGTTGGTAAAATATTTATCAGAACTCCCTCGAAGTATTTCATCTGTAAAAAATTATGTACTTTTCTAATTATGGTGACATTTATTGTTACAGTGTAACCCGGATATAAGAGAGATTTTCTCTGGTCCCAAATTAGAGCCCATACTTACCTAAACAAAATAGACCAGACCCGGATATAAGAGAAACCCGGATATAAGAGACTTCTTCTCCGGTCCCGACAACTCTCTTATATCCGGGTTAAACTGTATTTACTTATGTGCATTAATTAAAATCTAAGTTTCACAGTTTTCCTATTTGAATTTTCTGACGAATCGTATTTCTTGAATTAAGGATTGAATAAATTCCTTGCTAGTTTCCTGATTATAAATAAACTATAGAAATCCTTTTTTCCCCTCATCAAATACTGAAGTATAAAAAGAAAAAATCTTAACAAAATATTGCAATAACAATCATAAGTACGAATGCAGGTCATTATTTAAAGAAGTAAGAGGGTAAAAATGAAACAACGTCTCTTATATATTTTTCTTTAGTATTTCCTCGCAAACAAACAGGATGGCCCATTATTTATCTAAGGGATGGCAGGGGGTAACGCACACATTAACT